CCAAATCAAAAGAAAAAAAAAAAACATGTACATGCAGAATACATGCGCCCTTTTAAATCCATCTATCAGCATAGATATTTTTTTTTTTTTTGTCAATATGTTTGTTGTTTTTCTGAGTATAACATGATGGCCGATGATATTAAGTGTTTACTGCAGTTTTAGTTACAGTGGTTTGTTATTTCTGACTCATTTTTGTTTCATGTTAATTTTATTGCTGCGTATTTTTTATTCAAATTTTTTCAATTTGTTTTGTACACGCACGCACATAAACCAAATCATATCAATTGATTTACAATTTGTTGAACATTATCAAAAACATTATCACCAAATTTGTCATAAAGGCTTCAACAATATTTTTAATTTTGATCATTTTTGATTTTCGATTGCTTCTGTCAAATGTAATAAACAATTTCATCATCTCTAATTACAATCAATCAACAAACCGTTAAATATCAAATCAAATAATCAAATAATTGATTTTTTATTGTGATCAGAAATTAAATTCTATCTATCATCATGGGAGAAGGATCTATTTCCTGTATGCGTTATATTCTTTGCGCTTTTACGCTTGTATTTGTCATATTTGGCATCCTGTTAGTTTATACTGGATTCTCTACTTTTATAAGTTTGAATCAATACAGTCTTGTTATAACTAATAGTCCGGATGCAGCAACAATCGTACTTTTGGTACTTGGCTTTGTCATCTTTTTAATTTCATTTTTGGGTTGTTGTGGTGCCATAACCGGTAATGATTTTATGCTTCGTACATTTTCATTCATTATCACTTTGTTATTGTTGATCGAAATCATCACTGTTGTATTTGTATTTACATTCAAAAAAACGGTAATTCATTAATATCATTAAACGGTTTGTCATAACAATATAATTTTCATATTCTTTTCAACATAGATTCGTCAATCATTGGAAAGTGGCTTGGATGAAGCAATTCGAAAATATAATGATAGTGATGATTCAGCTATCAATAAAATGATTGATGATATTCAAACACGATTTGCTTGTTGCGGTGCTGATAATCCAAAGGATTGGAAAAATAACACCAATTATACTGATGGATCATTACCAAAGAGTTGTTGTGAAAAGGATCATGGTGTACGATGTTCAATGTCTGGTCCACATTTTGTATCCGGATGTGTAGAAATCATTACGGGTGAATTACGTAATTCGGTCAGTTATCTTGGATCGTTAGTAGTCACTTTGATCGTGGTCCAAATCATTGGCTTAATTTTCTCCTGTGTTTTGTTGGGTCAACGTCGCCGATATAATTATGTTTAATCATCCAAAGAAAACACAAATCACAAGCATAAACAAAATTATGAACAAAAAATGAAAATGGTTGAACCATTCTTCATTATTTTTTCTTTCATTCATACCAAGAAACTTTTTTCTACTTTTTTTTATAAATTTGAAATTTTAATCATAAAAATGTAGATATAACAATATATCCTTTTCAAAGCACAATAATTTTTAATCTCAAATAAAAATTTTGAAAAAAATCACAATTTTGTAAAAATTATATTTCGATTCGATATTTTATAATTTAATTCCATGTTCGATTGATTTGATCGATTGAAACAACGTAAAATTCCATTTATATTTTGTGAATAGCCCGTTTTTGGACAATCACAATCAAGCCAACAATCACATTCGAAGATAAGATTATTAATCAATAAGTTCCATTTGGATTGATCATCTTGAATCATTGAAATTCCGATAAAAATTTTACCTTGTTTTTTGTATAAAATTGTTTGAATTTTTTTGATTATGAGAAAAGTTTTTCGGGCTGATATTCCCAATGAATTGAACACCTGAATATCATCGATTAATATGATAGATTTTTCCGGCATTACAGATAATTTTGATTCAATGTTTTGAACAAATTGATCGGAATCGATTTCAGTATCATAATCAAATGTATCGATAACTTTCACTAGGCCATTGTCAATGTAATTTTTTAGATTGATTCCACATTTCATCGAAACAGCGCTATAATGTTGAAGATTTTGTGCCAACAATACAATAAGAATGGATTGACCATTTTTGACAGATTGTTGTAACAAAAGATCGAATGCAAACGGTGATATTAATGGACTTCGATTCGTATTTATAATCAAACGACATTTGTCCAATTCAAATAATGATTGAAATTTTAATAACATGATTATAATCTGGAAAATTCAAAATTAAAACAAAAAAAAAATATTATTCACGTGTTGAATTTTTTTCGCAATTAATTTCATACTTGAAAAGTACTAGAATTTAGTACGCCATCTAGTTATGATAAAATATTTTATTTAAAATATTGGTTGAAGTGTTCCAGGATCAAACAAGAATATAAATAAGAAGAATGTATGTGTTGAGTTTTTATTTTTATTATTATTCTGGTTTTATTTCGGTGTGCATGTGTGAAAATTTATGTTTGCAGCAAGGTATACATATTAATATAGAGATAGGTATTTGAGATGGCGAAATGTAGAGTGAAAAAAGATAAAAATATTTCATTTCGGATGAACTCTTCACAGTAATCGATTCTAATGTTTTATAGCAATCTTTATCAGTTTTTTTTTCTGTCTCGATTCCCGGGATTCTTTTCATCAACCTGAAATCAACTTGAATTGAATATGCGCTTCGAATCGAATCGAATAAATAATCCAAGAACCATAATGACTAAACAAAATTGTCAAAACTTATTATTCTGTAACCAAACAACAATTTGATTTTTTTCTTGTTTCATTTGTTTGTTGGTTGTTCAATTATGGAAAAAAATATGAAATATTTTGTTTTTCTTCATTCTTCATTCCAAAATCAACATCGACAACCTACGACGAATAGAATATATTGGCAGCTGTCAAAAGAAGAAAATAAAAAATTCCTATTTAATCTAACTAAGTAGAAAAATAAAATAGGTGGCTCCCAAAATTCTGTCGCAATTTTTTATTCTGCTATAGTTGTGGTCTATATTATTTTTGTTGTTGTTTGGTTTTGTTTTTTTGTTTGTTTGTTCGGTCTACGTTTCAGGATCTCTTTTTCTTTACATTACACACACAATGTTATTGTTCAAAATGTATATTTTTACGACGACGAATAATTAATGACTTCAATCTATCTTATTGGAGGTATTTATTTCATCATTGCCTAAAATATATCCTACAATGATATCTCACTTTTATTTTCCTATCGTTATCGTTTCTATAATGGTTAGGTGATTCTTTTTCTCATCACACTTTTTATTTTTTATTTTTTTTTTAATATTAGAATCGACGCTATGAACAAAATTTCTGCAACAAATACAATTTCATTGGATCCAACCCAAACAAACAAACACACCGTGTTTTATATATACGTGTATTTTTTTCATTCGATTCTTTCAATATGATACTATTGTTGAGCCAAAAAAAAAGAAAAAGTTTTTCGATTGAAATATTATCGACAACAACATTTCATTCTAGTCAATTATAAATGAAAATGATTTGAATTTTCGGTTATTGTTGTTATTGTTATTGTTGCTTATCATCGATATCATATTTATTCTGTTGATGCTCTTTTTATTAGAAACAAAACAAAAACAAAAAATTAACTTGAAATTTGATTGAATGAAGAGATTTTTTTCTCCCATTCGTAAATGAATCTCCATTTATTAGCTACTTTTGAGGTATGTATAAAGTGTTTCTGTAATTTTAAATTCAAATTATTCAAAAAAAATATAGGCTATTTTTATTATAATGCTGATTGTTATCACTTGGCGACAAGATTCAATCAAATTGTTCAAGTGTTCAAGAGATCGTTCGAAAATTGTACGAGATGTTATTTACAAGGTAATCGTTTTAGATGAAAATGAATTTCATTCTGTAATTTTGTTTGTTTGTTTGTTTGTAGAAATTTATTCCAATATTCACACGTCATGAAACAAATTTATCCTATGAATGTCCATTTCATCCGGATAGAGAATTTCTTTGGTGGCCAATGTATGGTCACTATGATGACGATAATGATGATGATGATGATAATGAAGTAGATAATCATCATTCACGTTGGACTTGTCCAATTTGTGGTGTAGATTTTCAATGTTCAAAGCGTTTAATTTTTCATTGGGATACTGAACATCGTTATTCTCGACCATATGTAATGAATCAATTGTTATTGTTTTTTTTTGTTGTATTTGATATGCTTATTTTGCATTTCTTTTTTTTCAGAGAGAAGATTTCGTATGTTTAGCCGATTATTGTGAAATATTTCGATGTGATATCATTCTAAAAAGAACATTACAAAACCGAAAAAGATTTCTTAATTATTTATCATTTGAAAAAAATTCCGATATAAAAATTGGCCAATGTGATTCGGCCAATATGGCCATCCTACAAGAGATGTGCCTGAATGTAATACAACAATGTATGATCAGTATCGAGAATAATATCTCAACAAGTCAAACATTACGATCGTTACGTAAAGAACTAAGCGATTCGTTTTGTTCCTACCTCACCTGTGAACATTATCACGATGATCTATTTACTGATGATGATGGCACAATTGTATGTTTTTTTTTAAATTTATTTATTTAACAACTAAAATTACATTTATTTTATTTTTAAAATTAAAAGTCTCGTAAAGTGCCGATAATTTTATTTACAATTGTTGGATTCATTATGTTCATCGGATTTATTCTAGTCTATTATTTTATCTGGAATGTTTTCAAGTAAATTTATCAATATATTTTTTTTTGAATTCGTTTCTCATTTTTCTTTGAATTTCTTTCAGTCGAAGCATAGTTAACAATAATGATAATGAAACGAATAAAACTTTGGATAAATTGGATCAACAAAATTACGATAATAATACGAGCTTTGCATTAAAGACAAAAAAAGAAAACTCTAAAAAATCTTTAAAACAAACAAATATTAATAATTATAATCATCTTCACAATAAAAAACAATCAATGTCCTCCTCCTCATCTAATAAATTTTTTGAAAATATTTTCGAGTTTAATCAGGAAAAATATGATGATTCATTTGAATTCAATGATTTAGAACAGAATCAAGTGTCTAAATTTAAAGCAAAACTTCATGCGATAAATAGCATAATTGAAGAAGAAGAAGAAGAAAGTGAATTTGATATAAGTGTACATTCATATCCGAATATTAATCGTAAAATTTTTCGACGCAATCAACGTAAAATTAAGCTGCCAATGAAAGAAAAAGATGCGAAACATTCATCACAAGAGATTTGCTTCCAAGAGTTGCCCATGAAATTTCATCCAAAATATGTTCAACCAATTAAGCAATTGTATTCAGATCAATATCCGTGTAACAATGATTCAATGTCCGATTCATTTGCCAAGTTATCCAATAAATCTCGTTCATTTTCGCATACACATTTACGCAATGTTCATAATAACAATTTGTCATCCAGAATGTTTAGCAAAAATCCTAGACGACAATATTCAGTGGATGAAGTGGAATGGGAACAACCATTACCTCCAAGAAATTATCAACAATCACATTCTAATCCTTTATTACAACAATTATCGCATTCAAATGCTCAGCCAATTTATTCAAATAAACAAATCAATCCAATATCATCATCATCATTGCCCTTAACATCAAGATATAAATTTTCTGAATGTAATGGACCTTCACGTCATAGGCCAATATCAAAATCAGCAATGTCATATCATATGATGCATCCGGCTAAACGAAGAGAATTGTATGCTGCTTCAAAAACAAATAGCGATGCAAGTATCGGTTCATGTAGTAGCCGATGTAGTAATCCAACTTTTTTCAAAAATTGATTAATATTTTATGTCGAACAATGACTTGAAATTAATCATTAATGAGCATAATAAATTTCAAATCTTTGATATCGACACTGACATTGAACATAATAAAACCCTAAAAATTTTCAATGATTCAAAAAAAATCCGAACATTCCGTTTTATGTTTTTTTTTCCAAATATCTAACTGCGATCACAAACACACACACCAAACAAATGCACCTTTTTTATTTAACACCTGATTTCCTCTGTTAAAACCATCACACCACCACAATCAATCATTGATATTTAAAAAAAAAAAATCCTTTTGAGAAAGAAAAATTATTCCTCTTGTTTTTTTGAGTGTCTGTGTGTTTGTATCTGAAAATTCACAAATATAATTATAATATGTTTTCACAGAATTTATTGTTTTAAAAGAATTTTATCAAGTTTTTTTTTGTTAAAAAAAATATTATACACTTAAAAAATTTATAATCAACCAATTACAATTGAATTTTAAAAACAAAAAATTATCTCCCTTTTTGCTCTCCAAATAAATAAATAAATGAAAATTTGATATTTTTTTCTCTCTCGTTGCAATTAGGTTTATTCAACTTCAATCAATCTAAATCATGTTTAAGAACTTGATTATAATGGATTCCAACGAAAAAAACATAATTTTTTTTAGAATCCATCTTCTCCAAATGTATAGGATTATGATATTTGTTTGTTTGTTTGTTTTTCCGCTACATTGATAAAATGTTTATTTATTTTTTTTGTCATCATCATTTTGGATGAAAACATTTTCTTTTTTAAAGTGGTTGTATGATTATCATTTATTGACATCAATATTTTTTTTCTTGATGAAAAGATATTATTTCGTTCATTATTTTATTTTGTTGGGGCCTCCAATTTTTCTTTTTGGCCATTAACATGATAGCTGAATTCATTCAACTAATGGTTTGATGCACAAAGACAAACGAATTAAATGAGGCTCCCAACCTAAAAAAACAACCAAACATTTATGACCCGAAATTTTAACGAAAAAAAACTAGCATCATCGAAATAATAACCAGAAGGAAAAAAAATAATGATAATAATAGTCGAAAAAAAGGGGCCTCATGACATCTCATCCGCATTGCTTTTCATTAAGAAAAAAAATTGAATATTTTATCCAGAACAACGGTTTTATATCCGAAAAGATTCAATAAATTCATTATTGTTGTTGTTCTTATTTCTGGTCAACCAATGATTACCGGTAATAGTCCGATGTCTACTGGTGATAACCCGTTTTAATTATACGCAATTTCTGGTAAGAACAACGGCCATTACACTGGAAGAAAAAAAGGATTTCTATTCAGAAAGTGAAAAGATTATTATTTTTTCATATAAAACTGGATTTGGGAAATACCTTTTTTTTTTCTTTCCCATATGAAAATTATAATGATGATGATTTTATCTCACAAATAAATAAAAAAAGAGAAAAAAGAAAAGAGTAATAAACTTGTTTGATCATCATAAGATTTTGGACTGATTGATAAAAAGAGAACAAACAAACAAAAAAATGAAGAAATACCAAAAACACGTGATTACCGGTTAAAACTAGTGATCACATGACCTCTATTCTCTTTGAACTTCCTTTATTTTAAAGAAAATATATTCTTCTCTTCTTTGTTAACGACCTTTATTTTTTTACAAATTTTTTTTTTTGTGTAGAACATTTTTTTTTTTTGGTCCTCATACGGATGTGTATGACATTGACCTAAGAACATCGTCATCATGAAATAATGCCGGATAAATAGGTCGATTCATTTTGTAATTTTTGCTGTTGTTGTTCAATACGATTAATATTTGTAATTTTTGTTTTTTATAATTGTAAAACGATTACGATAAAATCTTTTTCCAATCATCCTGGTCTTTGAACTTTTCGACTATAGCAAAAACAAAGAAGAAAAAAACAATGGACAATAAGCTGTCATTCAATTTTTTTAAGTTTGTTAATTGCCTGATTAATTATCTTGTATTATATAATCAAATCTTGAACAACCAATCCATCGAACCAATAAACATCATCGATTAAAGATCTTTGTTTTTTTTAATTTCTCCAATCATAATCAAATCGATTTTAAAATCAATTAGTATTCTATCTATCTATTGATCAGTAACCAGATTTTCTTTTTTCAACATTCTGTAACATTTATTTTACTTGATTAATGATCATTTATATGAACACCATACACACACACACACATATACAGACATTTATGAAAAAAAGCAGGTTTTCTTTTCTTAATTTACAACGCCTATTCGGTTGGAAAAAAAAATAAATATATTGAATAGAGAAATTAAACCAGTTAATACAAACAACAAAATGACGGAATTATCATCAATCGATGATTATGCAACATTGTATAAAACAACATTTTGATTTTTCATTTTTCATTCTTCGTCGCCATTGCTATAATGTTTTACACTGGAAAAGTGTTCAAAGAAATCCTTTCATTTCATTTTGTTTCGATTTGAAAAATAAAATGAAGAAAATTTTTTCGCCTGAAATTTTCAACGAATTAGCGTAACAATTTGATTTTAAACTTGTGATTACAATTGAAGAATAACAACTTTTTTTTCAAACCATCATTATCATTGAAATTCCAATTCTAATTCAGATCGAACCAAGTCAAAAATTTTTTTGTTTTAAAACTTTAGTTAACGTTGATTTCGGCATCATTATCTGGAACACGGACCAGCCCAAATTCCGAAGAAACAAAATAAAATTTTTTGATTACCTCAATGCTGATTATTCTTCAATTGATAACGAATGTAAAACAAAAACTTTCTACTATTACAGACCACTATCATCATCATTATTCGATACCACCACCACCGATTCTTGGAAAAATTATCTTCGATCCGTAATTAGATGTTATTTTGTTTGCATTTCGATTTTCATTTTACTGAAAAAGTTTTCATCCAATAAATCTTCAAAATAGAGCGGAAAAGACATTTGGAAAAAAAAATTAAAATCAATTGAAATTCAAGGTTTTTTTCCATTTTTTCTCCTCACTGCGATTCTCGAATTCTCATTTTATATTGTTTTCTTCATTATCGTCATCGTCGCCGTCGTCATCGTCTTGTTGTTGTTATCCAAGTTGCTATATAAAAATTTCCAAGAAAGATCGTCAACAACAACAACAACGACAACTATACACCACCACCATTATCATCTACCACTACAATTTATCATCATTTTGAAGAAATACGTGAAACAACGAAACAAAAAAATCCATGATATACGGTGTGTATTTGCGTGCGTTTAGTTTCTTCTCCTCGTTGTTTTTGTTGTTGAAGACATCGACGGAGACATTGATGATTATCCTCATTCAACATTCATACAACATAGATAGATATAAATAAAGTCTATAGAGACTATCAAAAATATATAGTTAACAATTAAAGAAAAATTGCTACAATCCAATTGTAAAAAAAAGGAAAAAAGGGGAACACAAAAAAAAGAAGAAGAAAATCTTTCCAAAGTCAAAGAAAAACATCTATATATATTTGAATGCATGCAACAACAACAACATTGAATTGAATTGTATACGACGAAAATTTGAACAAATGAGGAAAATTTCAATAATTTATATCCTTTTTTTTTTTGTTTGCTGCATTATTTTATGATTGGGATCCATAGTTTTTTAATACTCGTGTGTTTGTATGTGTCTATGTGAGTGGTTGTTGATGGTGGCTGTTTGTTTTGTTTGTTTGAAACTCTTTTTTTTTGTCACTGTTTTTTTTTCTCTCGATGATAATGATGATAATGGATATATATGGTTGTCCTTGTTGTCTGGTTTTCAACAACAACAACAAAAAAACAACTGAATGATGGAAAATTTCATTGAATTAATTGAATGAATGAAACAAAAACAACAAAAAAATGACGCATCTTCAAGTGTCCAGTGTTTTATTCAAATGATTTGTTAAATTCTGATAATTTATCCAAAAAAACTGATTCGAAAATCGATTACGATAAACTTCGATTTTATATGGATTTCCGTCAAGTTTTTTGTTGTTGTTGTTGTTATTGAGAAAATTTACGTGTCCAATTTCCCAAAACATTCATCATCATCATCATCATATTGAAAACATTGTTTTTTGTTCCTGTTTTATTATTATTATTGTTGTTTTGTTTTGTATCAGCTCAAAACATTTGCCTAAAATCTCTTTTGTTATCGTTTTTTGTTTGTCTGTTATCAATTATCAGTTATTTATTTATTTTTAAAAATGATCAAAAAAATTTATTTTGGGAAGAGGAAGTGGATAAAATTTCAATAATTTCTTCATTGTTTTTCGATTTGTTGTTGTTAATGTTTTTTTCTCATGGAATTAATGATTATCCAATTTGAAATGAGCAATTTTTCGAAATATTTATTATCATGGATTTGGTGCGATCATCATCATTTTCATTCAATTAAAAATAAAATATAAAAAATGAAACGAAAAAAACGTCGTTATTGTTGTTAAATTATCCAAAAAAAAAAAAATGATTGATTGATTGAAAATTTAAATGATTTGATTCGTCTTTAAGCAACAACGATAACACATAAAACCACAAATGAAAACCAAACTCAGGAATTTTGTTCAATCTTTTTTCACAAAAAACAAAAAAACAAAATCTAATCATTATTATTTTTCTCAACATTCATTAATTTAATTTTTGTCGTGGTAAGTGTTTTCATATAAAAACAAAAAGATTATCTTTATTCTTATCATTTTTTTTTCTTTAATAAAGATTTACCAGATCAAGTCAACAACCAAAGAAACTTATTGTTTTTTTTCTTCATTATCATCATTATTATTATTCAAATTGAACAAGAAAAAAACCGAATCCCTCGATTTAATTCCATAATAATTGCAATCAACCAATTTTCATAATCATTAAATTTTTCATTTTTGTTTTCGTTTTCGTTAAACAACCACCTCATCATCATTATTATTATTGTTGGTTATCTTTTTTTTTCTACAATTCTTATTCTTTCTTTTTTTTCTATAACAATTCTACGGGTACATTAAAATTCAATTTGAAAAATTATCATTGAATTTAACATTATTGTTATTCCATTGAAATTGAAAATAACTGACAAAATTCAAATCAAAATATCAAATCCATTTCATTTGTTTTCAAATTGAAACGACTACGGGTATTGTCATCATCATTATAAATTTCCTTCGAAAAAAAAATATTGATGACATTAAACTACTGGATTTCATAAACGAAATTCTGCAATTATCATCATCATCATCATTTATCAACATTGAGAAACTTTCGAAAAATTACGGGAAAATATTGAAACAAAACAAAACAAAAAAATGAATGAAACATTTTCAAAAAAACAAATCATATGCCAAACTTTGATTATAATTTGAAAGTTAGACGAAAAAAAAAATAACTTTCAATTTTAAACTACTACGGGTTAATAGTAAACAATTATCAATAGCCACAACAACAAAAACAACCATAACTACTACGGGTCATCTCTATTCTAATCGAATCAATCTTTCTAATCCAAAATATCATTATCGCAAAAACAAGAATAAAATATCATTCAATTCATTTTCTAAAATAAACATAGTTTTCTTCATTCATTCATTATCCAGATTATAGTTTTTTTTTAATATTCTTCGTTCGGGTACAAACAAACAAACAAACGGGTAAAGAATAAACCTGGTGAAGATATTGCCAAAAATAAAAACAACGGTACAAAAATAACAACAACAACAACAACAACAAAAATTATACCTCAACTAAATCATTATCATTATTATTTGTTTGTATTTCATTCAAACAAACAAACAAACAAAAAGGAAAAATAATCATCATCTATATTTGCCAATGATTTTTTTTCCCGAAATGAAACTTATATATTCTTTTTTACCATTGATTCACAATTCAATTCATTTATAAATGATATTAACATCAACCAAATCAAGTGATCACAATTGTATGGCACTATAAACAATCGAATTAAAACGAAAAAAAAACAAAATCGCATAATTATTATTATCAAATTTTTTCTCTCTTATATCTGAATAACTAAAGTGTATTAGGTGAAACTTAATTTTTTTCAATTAATCATGGAACCATTAAATGGATCAGATTCTTTATTCAATTTTTGCAACTATTTTCAATCACAATTACAATTAGATCAAGATAAATTATTAATGTCTACCGGTAAAAATTTGAATCTAATTACTAATGGTTCATTATCAAAAGATAATCAATGTAGTATCAATGGATTTTCACCATTCTTATCATCATCATCACCGTCATCATCATCGCCATCATCACCACCATCGACATCAATGAACAAACATCAATTTACTGAACGTAATGAAGATTTGAATTTGCAAACATTGAATAAAAATTTACATTCATTATTGAATGATGATTTATTGGCTATTCGGCCAAAAAATCCTAATGATCCGGTAATATTATCATCATCGACGACTAGCTCATCTACTGATAAAAGTTTAAATAGTTTTTGTTCTGAATCGAATGATTATGATTCGGTCAACACAAATCAGGATTCATTATTGCTCAATCTTAATGGTTTTCTTAATGCTGCTGCTGCTGTAGGTAATTCTTCAAATCATAACAACAGCTGCAATGATCAACAAAAACCATTACATCATCATGCAAGTCATCAACAACAACAACAACAACCGCAACAATTCAGGGAAAATTTACAATCATCGGCTTTTTTCATGTCGAATCATCATCATAATTATAATAATCAACCACAGCAGCATCAGACATATGCTTTTCCATCATCATCGAATTCTTCATCACCACCATTGTCACAGACATCGGGTCCATCATCGGCATCATCCGAAACGGCAGTAACAAACAACACAAATGTTGTTTTCAACCACAACAACAACAACAATAATAAACCCGATAATGCCAATCGTTTAAATTTTCTTGATTCACAAAATCTTTCTTCGTCATTGGCTCCATCATCAACAACTAACAACAATACAACTTCACCACTTCTATCAAAAGTTATTACTAATTCATTCAATAATCAGATTTCAAGGAAAAATGATAATTTGTTTCATTCAAACATAAATCCATTGGATAATGCATTTTCATTGATGGTATCGAATTCATTATCGAATAAAAATTCATCAACAAACAATATCGATACAACAATAACAGGACAACAACAGGATATATCACCATTATTTTTAAGATCAAATAATGGAATTTCATTGGGATCATCCACCATAGATTTAGCTGGTGAAAATCGATCATTGATGGCTATCAATAATAATAATAATAATGGCTTACGTAATGCTTCATCAACAAGCTTGATCAACAATGTCAACACAAATATCCATCCAGAATCTTTATTGTTGAATAGCGGAATTTCATCAACTAATAACTGTAATAGTGATGGTAATCTTATTTTAGGCAACAATAGCAACAATCAATCACGTAGCAAGATATCACCATCGTCATTTAATAAAAACAATATAAATTGTATGGGAAAAAATTTAGCTTCGAATAGCAATGTATCACCTCCAATCTTGACGAACAACAACAATAATAACACCAACATCAATAATAATAATTGTAATAATTCCAACCAAACATTATTTACTCCCAATCAACTTGCTATTCTCAATGATCTTTTGGAACAACAACAACAATCAACAGCATTACAGCAACGCTTGTTAAACTTAAATAATAACAATAATAATAATAATAATTTGAACAACTTGACATCATCATCATCGACTGTTTCTGGTTCTAATATTTCAATGTTGACACATTTCGATCATCAAATACAATCATTGGCAAATGAAATTAATTCCACTGTTCAACTTTATGTCAATAGTATTCAGATGCGTAAAGAACAATTGTTAAAACAATTGGAACATGTTCGTAATGCTTATTCATTATTGATTAATCAACAATCAACGGCCACTAATAATCAGAATAATAAAAATAAACCACCAATTACTCAATTACCGAAGATTACATTCACACGACCTGATCAAAATCTATTCAAATCGATCACATCATTTGGTTTCATCAATACGCCTGCATTCGGTCCTTATTGTCAAATTAGTGGTGAAGGTCTTTCAATGGCCATTGAAGGAGAACCAACATGTTTTTCCATTATCACTCGAAATTGTTTCAATGAAGAAATGTTGATTGGTAAGTATCTGTAACTATTTTAATTTGATTACAATTTGATTACTTATAAATGAATTTTAGGTGGCGAAAATATTGATATTGAAATTCAATCAAATGAAACGACAGGTCAAAACAATCTGTTCATTTCTAATCCGTCGTTTCAAATACAGAAAAACATTCTTGATAATAATAATGGTAAATATAATGTCACATATACAATACCACGTGGCAGTGGAATACGTTCGGCAAAAATATTCATCAGTATCAATGGTCTACTAACAAGTAATTCTCCATATTTGATCACCGTCAAAACCGAACGATTACGAGAGAATTGGAAACTACTTACTTTGTATGGTGAAGAAGGAACTGAACCGGGTAAATTCTGTCGACCATGGGGTATAGCGATCACACGGCTACCATTACAAAAAGATCCGAATCATAAATTGGTCGGCGACGTCAATGCACCAAACATTCCAATGCAATCAAAATCATTCTATCAATGGCAATGTCCTAATTACCGAAAAGACTACCTCTTGACTGTCGCTGATCGTAGTAATAATCGAATTCAAATATTAAAACTTAGTATCCATGAAAATGTTAATAATAATAATAATAACTCTTCGGGTCAATTTGTAATGTCGAATTCATCATCAATGGCAATGAACAAAGCAGAAATATCAGTATTGCATGTGTTTGGAAATGGTCCTGGGACTAGACCCGGTTTGTTTGATCGACCTGCCGGTATTACTATTAATTCAAATCTTGGACAATTGATTGTGGCTGACAAGGATAATCATCGCATTCAAGTATTTGTTATTTTCGAGTTAAAATCGATTTCAAATTATCTTATTTGAATTTTTTTCATTTCAGGTTTTCGATTTAGCTGGCGGATTTCTGTTTAAATTCGGTGAAAAAGGCTCAAGACCTGGACAATTTTGTTATCCATGGGATGTTGCTATCTGTCCGCAAACATCCATGATTTTGGTTTCCGATACACGAAATCGGCGTATTCAATTGTTCACACATTATGGACAATATCTTTGGCATTGTGGTCAACCACTTGATTCTCCACGTGGTGTAGCTTTTCTTACTCCTGATCGTTATATTATTTCTGATTTCAATAAACATCGATTATTAATTATCGATCGAAATGATTCAAATTCTCATCAGGTAATCAATTCAAGAGATGATTATATAACATCAAAATATATAGGATTCGGTGAAGGATCAGCATGGGGTGAATTTCTTCGACCACAAGGTCTGGTCGCTTCAATCAAAAAGAATTCAATGGTCAGTAAATATGTACAGGTATTATGTGCCGATTCTCGAAACAATCGAATAGCCATTTATAATTCATTGAATCAAAATTTTGATTATATTAATGGAGATTCATCTATGGCTAATGGCGCTACATTTGATCGGCCATCCGGTATTGCTATTGCAGACAATATTCTTGCTATAATCGATTTTGGTAACAATCGATTGCAAATATTTCAAAACAATCTTGGCTAACGATAAAAAAAATTAATTGATTGATCAGAAACAAAATCAATCAAATACTCAATTTAATAATTAATTAAAAGTGCTCATCGATTCAAAATTTTTATCATCATCATCATCATCATCACAATCACAAAATTTACATAATTTCCAAATTTTACAGTCATTATTTTAAAAATGATGACTGTTTTTTTTCTAAAAAAAAAATTCATATAAAAAACTTTGTTCCGAACAAAGTTTTCAAATTCTTTATAATTTTTTTTAATTATATTCTTTTCAATTTACATAACAGACACACATACAATACATCCACAATTTTTCATTATTATTTAGTTTCAATTAATTCTCCACATTGTCATCATTAATTCAATGCTCAGTGGTTTTTTTCTCTGTTGAAAAATTATCAAATTAGTTATTTAGTATAGATTCTGTTAACATATTAGGTCAATATTCATTCATTCAATATAGCGTTATAATTCTCAATATGGTTTTCTTTTTTGCCCAATTTCACTTTCAGATAACCCTACCACCAACAACAACAACAACAAACAAAAAGTGATCATTTGAAGATTCTGATTTTTTTTTTGTCTAATCAATCAGAATATTTTTTGTGATGTCTTTATTTCTTTTGAAATTTTTTTTTTCGCCATCATTCTTTTTTTTGTATTGATCACTGCTTTTAGATTTTTTTTCTTTCATTTCTTTTTTTTTTTACTTTTTTTTGAAATTTTATTTCATCTTCGAGTGATAATTTTGATTTTGTTTAATTTTACACTGACATTACACACTCATATCTATTTCAAAACAAAAAAAAACCTAAAAAAATCAGCTTTTTCAAAAAGCAATTTTCTCTCACACACAACCGACATAAGAAATTAATAGGAAAAAATATATATAAATTTGGCAAAGATAATCGAAATTATTATTATCTTAAACAGCCTATGATAATTTATCCTTTTTTTCTATTGAATATAAAAGGATATTAAGCTTAATATTATTCGGATTAACACGTACAATACACACACAAATACATTAACTCAGGTTTATTATTCCTGAAAACATAAGATACATTGAAAATCAACAGAATATATCTCAGGTGTTTATTTTTTTGTCTGTTTTTTCTCTCGCTGCTTTATTATTATTATTTACCCCGGTGCCCAATGGACAATTCTACTTTTGAGAAGAAAATCTTTTGGGCCATAATTTCAATTGATTGAAAAAAAATTGATTTGTTTGAATACAGATAATATTCATTTTATTATACGAAAAGATAATTCATATATACTCAATTTATAATTGAAAAACATTCATTGATTTTGTTTGAACATCAAATACATTTGTGAAACACCAATATGTGTAAAGAGAGATGTTTGTAACAAAAAAACATATATTAATTATACGGAATTTTACTATCATTATTATTATACGGGTTCTTTTTTTCCAAATTAGTATAAAACCAAACAAAATGTTATTTACCCATGTCTTTGTTTCAAGAATATTTTGTTTTCAAATGATGCAATTGTTTTTTTTAAGAATATAATTAGATATCAATTATGGTATTCTGGCTTCTTCTTTTTTTTTCTTTTTGCTGCTGTTTCTCATCATTATTATTAGTAATTAGACAATACAAATTTCAACAATTCTCAAACAAACAAATCAAAATAACTGTAATTGTACCCCTCCGATAACCTAAACACAACAAACAAACAAACAATTTAATGACAAAAATTTTGTGAACAAAAACAGACTATAAAAAATGAAAACATCATCATTCTGTGATCGTATATGATCGGATTTATTGATATGATTTTGTGGTGACATTTGTTGTTGAACAAATAAACAAACAAACAAACAAAAAACACAAATTAGAGATTTTAACCAATACAATATTCATTGTCAAATGTTTTTTTTCTTCTGATTATTCCTGATTGAAACATATATGTGAAACATTTTCTCTCTGACTTTTCTTTTTTTTCTGTTTTAAAAGATTTTATTCTTATCTTTCCCTAAATTATAATCTGGCAAACAAAAAAAAATGTCAATTTGCAATTCATACAGAGCAATTCATTAAAGAAATTTTAATTGAAATAAATAAAAATGATTTTTTTTGAAAAGAATTACCATTTGAAAATATTTTTTGGCTCGATAGATGGCGTACAGGTGGTGTTGGAATTCATTTTTGTTTTCCTTCCAACATTCGAAATTATTTGGATCATCATTGGATTTCGATTGATTTTTAAAACAATCAATGAATTAAACATAAAAATTATCAATGGTTAAAAATCATTAAAATTTGGTTGAATTTAGAAAAGAAAATTTAAATATATCGCACGACGAATCTATAATAATCACCACCATCATCATAATGACATTAATTCGGATGATTACCATGGAATTTCCCAACAACAACAAAAAACTGATGCATTTTCTCATTATTATGGCTCATTATAATCATCATCATCATAATAATAATGATAATATAAGCTAATTCTTTACGTATCATTTAAAAATATTACAATTTGATTCAAAAGGATGATTAATCTAAATTAATATCCTTAAAAATGATAATGATGATATGATGATTTAGCAGAGAAAAAAGAGTCTGAAAAACGAAAGATTCTTGCTTGTGTGTTTCAGTGAATAGAATATGAATGAAAATTATCCAAAAAATTCTTTCCCAAATTGAAATCACGTCTTTTTGTTTTCTAATTTAATCTTCAGTTTATAATGGTTTTTATGTTTTTTTTTTATATACGAAAATGGTTATTGTTTTTTCGGTAATTCGATTCTAAATTCTTGAATAAATGAATAGACTGAAAGTATATTTAGTGCAGAAAGAAAATCTAGAACGATCATGATATTCATCCGGAATTGAGAATTCTACTACTAGAACCATAATACCGATTTTGTTCTTTAATTTCCAAGATTTTGTACTCAAAAAAAATTTGTGCAAGAAAAAAAAATCTCATAATAATTTTTTATCTTTCGTTTCTATTTTTTGCTGTGTGTGTGTGTTTGGTAAATGTTTTTTCATACTTTCACTAAATCAAAATGTTTATTTTCCTCGATGATGATGATGATGATGATGATGATGATGATGATGATGATGATGTTTATGGAATTATGTTCAAAGATATATAAGTCATATACCCATATGATTACAACTTTGTTTCCAGGCAATTAATTTTTCAAATATTCTTCTCATTTTCTTTTTGTTGTTGTTTTTTTTTCTTCATTTTTTTTATAGTTATGGGTATTTGTTTTCCCTGGTTCATCATGATGTTGGTTCTGATTTTGTTGTTGTTGTTTTTTTCTGGTTTCTGTGTGGTAAATCATAAAAAAAAACCTTTGCTTGTCCATTTTGCTCGGAAATAGATGAAACTTGTAAAAGGTTATTTTGTTCCATTTAGGCTTTACAATAATGATAATGATGATGATTTTTTTGTGTTCCAAAATCAAAATTTCCTTTATGGTGACAATTGAGTCATCGATTGTCATCATCGATGATGTTGACCGTCATATCAACCGAAAATGACACACACACACACACACATGCATACAACACTAAACAATCATCGAAACAAGATCAATGGCCATTGATATCACCAAAGAGAAAAAAAAAGAATAATGTTATCGTCGACAATGGAATAACAAAAGAAAGAAAGAGAAAAAAAAATCCAAACACAAAAGAATTTAAAAACAAAACACGTGACCGGATTCTTTAGCATTGTGTGTGTGTCATATGCAGGAATTCTTCTTTGTTGTTGACCAAAAAAAAGAAGAAAGAAGAGAATATAACTAGATGCACGTGTCAAGCTTGGCACGCTAACACGCCTTATGTTCGACATTGATATCGAACATATTACCACTATACAATGAATGAAATACAACAACAACATTAATCTTTTCAAACCTATGATATTCTTGTATTCTTTGTATTCAAAGATTTCAAGGGAAAAAATGAAAATTTAGTGAGTGATGAAAAATATATAAGTGTTTTTGATTCATATTAACAACGTAGTATGCATACAGGATTCTCATTTTCGTTTCCGTTTCGTGTTTTCGTTTTCATTTTATTTCATTCAATGAATGAATGAATGACTGATGAGACTTAAACGTTCATAAATGATGAATCGTCATTGACCTTAATCAGGCTATACTTTTTCCATACTTTTTTTTCTGAATTCTGAATCAACAAATAATGAACATGTTATGAACATATCAATATTCCTATCGTTTGTTTGATTTTGTATTTTTATGTGATACGTGTGTGTGTGTGTCAACGTTTAACTACATTATTTTTGAATTTTTTTTTGTTGCAAACAATAGAATTCGGATATCGATCGATAGATCGATCGGTTGGTTATTTTATTTTTTGGATTTAACAACCAGTGCGGGTAGATTCTGTTTTTTTTTCGAAAAAATTATCTTCGGTAAAGATTTGAAATCGAACGATTTTTTTCAATTCGATTTTATGATTTGAATCAAAATTCCAGATTTTTTTCTCCCTCTGCTGCTGTCACTGAATTTATTTTTGAAAAAAAATTAGTTTTTTTTCACTTTTGTTTCGATTCAATTCAACAAAAAAAAATATTTCATTTTTTTCAATATTTACCGAAATCAAAATTTGTACACCCAATATAAATCGTATTTATTCATGCATTCAATAGAAACTTTCGTTTTTTTTTTTCATTTTCACTGACTTTATCTTCTTTTTTTTTTGACAAAACAAAATATGATTACGCCCGAATCTAACGGTTTTTTTTTGGCTCTTTTGTTCCTCGAGGCTGGTCGATCCAAATGTTTTTTTGCATTTGCATTTGCATGTTTGTGTGTGTGAATGACAAATATAATTAAATTTTAATCCATTTTAAATTCAGCAAAAAAAAACACTGAAATAATTTCATTCAAAACAATCATGTTGTTTTTTTTCGGGGTGTTATCTTTTGGATTTTGATGTTTGTTTGTTTGTTTGTTTGTTTTGTAATGATAATTTTTTCAGCAAAAAAAAAATCTTTACATGTCAAAATCATCAACAAAAAATGATGATGCAAAAAAACAAAACATCATTACCGTTATCATCATTGGCTAGATTAATGA